AGAATAGGTCACACTGGACTCAATCATACATTACATAAAATAGGGAAACACCCAACTGGGCAATGCATTTTACATTGGCAGGTTTATTAGGAAACAAATCTAGTGAGGTATATAATGATATAATTAAATTTATTAAAGAAACCCAGTTAGAGGAAAGAATATAGAGATAATATCAGAAGAATTGTTAGTCCACCCCATCCCCCATTTGTATTAAATTTTATTACTATTATTAAAAAGGTTTTTTTTTTTTTTTTTTTTTCCCTCTCTCCCCCTCCCCTCACAATTTCCTCCCCCTTTCTCTCCCTTCATGTAATTTATACACTTCAGAAAGTATTCAACTAGTTCCATACTCCATTCCAGTCGGTGGCGGTAATGCACCTATAAGTCTGGTTGCCAACCGCCAGTAAAACCCAAAGAAGAAGAAGAAGAAGAAAACTACACCCCCCATATGGCGCGAAAGCTGCGATGTCCCGGATGTTGAGAGCGCCGGAAGAGAAGCAGGTGTCTTCCTTGGCCATCTTGTGTTTGTCCACCGTGAGCCGTTCGCTCAAAGCCTCGAAGAATCGGAGGAGAATCCCGCTGTTGGGGCGCCATCATGCCCGGGCATCTGCAAGAAGGCTTCGGCTGCGTCGTTACCAATCGCTTCGACCAGCTATTGGACGACGAATCCGACCCCTTCGAGATATTAAAGGCGGCCGAAAACAAGAAGAAAGATGCGGCCGCGTCAGGAGGCTCGAAGACGGCAGCTCAAGCTGCAAAACAGCCGAAAAAGGAGTCCCAGAAAGACAGGAAAAACACAGCGCAGGACAAGAAAGAAGACATCCAGCCCCCCGTGCCACTTAAGAAGGAGGGTATGTTGAAGTTTCAGCACCAAATGTTTGCTGTGTGTCAAAACATAACCTTTTTTTGTGCATATCACACACAGACTGCGAGTCATAAATCGCTTTTTAGGCACACATGCGATTAAAAGGTGCTGAATAGCTTAAAATGCACATCCAAAAAATGTAGGCGACTCGGTAGGGTATAGGGATGAGTGCTTGTGTGCATATAAACACAGCAGTGAAGACAACATGGAGCTGCTGCTGATGCTTTCGACGTTTAGCGATTTGCTAGCACATTTCAAAAACAACATTTCTTTCATGACTTTAGACGTGTGCTTTTATTGAGCTCAGGTTTTCCTCTCACATGTCAGCATCGCTGACTGATCGTGATTTTGATCAACTTCGGTGTATTTACAACTGCGTAGCTGCTTTAGCTACATGCTAATCAGCTAGCTGTATGTGAATATAATGCGATTATTTGGTTTCACGGTGTGTTGGTTTGCACGCGGGAGAGATATCGGCGTGTGTGATGCATTGCAAACGTGGATGAAAACACTTTCACTTTTTATTTCACAAGGCGCGCAGTTAGTGTATGCAGTGTACATCGCTCGTTCACATTGTCGTATTTACACTAGTGGTGTTATTATTCTATCATGCGTTCATATTTCAGGTTATGATTTGAGGTCATGCTTGCTTTTGCATCAACAAACATCTGTGGGGTTGATTCATTAATAGATCCTTATTGTGACCTTGGCCTAAACACACAAATCAATAATACTCCCAAATGCTATTATTAACAGTCTTTTGTTTTTATTTTCCTCTTCTTTGTGTGCAGTGGAAGTATACATTACTTTAATGGCCCTATACCAACTCGTGTGTGTGTGTGTGTGTGTGTGTGTGTGTGTGTGTGTGTGTGTGTGTGTGTATATATATATATATATATATATATATATATATATATATATATATATATATATATATATATATATTAAGGGTGTCACGATCCTCCAAATCCTCGATTCGATTACATTTTCGATTCTAAAGGCACGATTCGATTATGATTAATTAATTATTTGTAGCCTACCGATTAAACTACCTGACCTGCATGGTCTTTGTTTTACCCATAAACAAATCATACAGTAAATGAATAAAGGCAAGATACACACATAATTACCACCTGTCAATCACTTTTTCTGCGGGACTCGTGAATAGGCAGTGATCTGTGTCGTTATAATGGCGTCGGTAAAAAAGACGCACAACCAACAGGAACCAGCCAACAGTATCTGAGGTGTTCGCTAAAATGACTAAGCACAAGTGAGTGAAAGATTGAAGCAGTCCTCTGACTGCCTGGACCTGCTGTCTCGAGCGCATGGCTGTGTGTGCGTCTATGTGTGTGTGGTCACGTGATGTGCATTTTCAGAGGTAGAGAGGAAGGAGGGCTGCTCAGAAATGCTACACGCCACTGTGGATGTCAAATCGTTGTCGTTCTAAAATGCCATTTAAAAACAAAGACAGTGTAAACAGGGCCTGAGTGTGTACTTTTCGCGAGCGCATTTGCAACGGGGGCGGAGGATCGCGATGCCGGTGTTGTCTATCGGACGAACCGTACGTAATACGTACATAGCAGAGCTTGCAAAACTGTGTTTTTTTTTTTGTCGACAACATGAACGTTGTCAACATAACTCACTGGAAATCCAAAATGCTTCCACACTGGCGACTTCATTGAAAGAGGAGAGGGTTTAAGCTCTGTCGACGGGTCTCCTGCTTCTGCAGTTTAACAAGCACTTCAACAAGCCTGTTTTTTTCCCGCTTGGCAAGCCAAGCTGACGTGACATGGGGGCGTGGCAGCATCGACGATTCTATTTTTTGATTCAATAATCGAAATTGAGCATAAATTTCGATCGATTTCGATTAAAAATCAAAATCGTGACACCCCTAATATAATATATATGTATATATATATATATATATATATATATATATATATATATATATGCGTAAAGCATGTTAGCTATATGCTATGCATTAATCCAACAGTGCTTAAATGAGTCTAGCATTTTCAGAAATTGTCTATCAACTAAAGTTGTCTCAACTGAAGTTTTAAAAACGTCTACCTCCCGCTAACATTTGAGCGCTGTTTCACCGAACTTACTAATGTTTACTAAATTAAACCACAGATACAGGCACACTGGAGCGTTTTAAAGCTGTGATTCATTAGTGAATTGCTGGTATGTCAGCTTATACACAAACCAGCAGATCTTCGAGACTTCAAACGCTTTATTGTCCCTGTATCTGTGGTTACACTCGGTAAACAGTGGAGAGTTTGGTAAGCTGCTGACCTTCACGGCCACAGTCATTTTTATATATATATATATATATATATTTTTTTTTTTTTTTGGGTACCTTTAATGGATACGAAAGTGTAGAGTATTGACAGGAAAGCATCGGGAGGAGAGAGAGGGGAAGGATTGGCATAGGATCGCGAGGCAGGGATCGAACTCGGGTCGCCGTGAGCACCGAAGTACATGTGTCGTCGCACTAACCACTACACCACTACACCACTAGTGCCGACTTGAAGTCATTTCTTTTGAGAACGTGAACGCAATGGGCAATTGGCAGTTTTAGAACGCGGAAAATGGACGTTTTTAACATTTTAGTATCGATTGGTACCGTATTCCAGTATTGTGACAACCCTAGTATCAAGACGTTGACGCCTAAAACAGTGCATCCACAAAATAGAACTAAAATTGCTGGATTGTGCGTGCCAGGCCAGTAGATGGCGATCACACAATGCCACAAATGTTTAGATTTTTTTATTTTTGTAATTAACGCTTGGGGGACATCAGTAATGTTTCCTAACCTATTAATAGTTTACTATATTTAGGTATTTGTTAAATATCTAAATTAGTAATCCATCACAATGGTGGCATTGCTTAGGAGTGACGCATGTTATTTTATATCCGTAAATGCGCAATTCTGTATGAAATTGTACATTCACGGGTTGTTTGTGTTAGGTTATTAATGAATGTCTGGATGTCTGTTTCAGGGATGAGGAGGGTTGGCCGGAAGCCGGAGCAACAGCAGGGTCCAGCCAGCTCCCAACACCCGGGAGGTCCAGGAGAGGGTCGACCCGGAGACAGGAGGCCTGACAGACGACCTCCTCGTGAGCGACGCTTTGATAAACCCGCTGACGAGAAGCCAGAGGGGGGAGATTTCTCTGCGGACAAGTGAGTCATGATGTTATGTTCAAATATTTTGAGAGAAATGTTGAAAAAGGTGTCCTAAGGAAGAGTTTTAGGGTGCTTTCACACCTAGATATTAGTTTTGGAATCGGTCTCCTATTATATTTATATAATTTTATATATAATTTTTTTTTATTATTAATATTAATATAAGATGTCTGCGATAAGGAAATAGCTTGCTGTCACTTGTAAATGTGTGAATTTAGACTTCTGGAAAGGCTGCAGGATATGATGCAATGATTTATCTTGATGATTCTTTTTTAATTTTTTTTTAATCATTAGAGGCTGAAATGAATTCCACCTAATTGCGTAGCCCTACTTTGTCTAAATGCACAAATACTTCTGCTTTTTGTGAGAATCCAGCCGTAGGATCCAAACAATGTGACTGACAGAATCAGAATTATCTGAACCATTCCTCATTTTGATGTAATATAGAGTTGAGTGGTTAAATGCAATTAGTATTCATTATTTATTATGTATTTTCTTTATAAAAAAAAGTGTAATATAAGTTAAGAAGTTAGTTTGTTTCTTTATAGTATAAACATCATGTAAAAGGAACACCCCTTACGAAATCCTAAAGATCACCCAAAAATGAAAATTGTGTCATCGTTTCCTCACACTTCACTTGTTCCAAACCTGTTTGAGGTTTTATTTTTCTTTTGTTGAACACAAAGGAAGATATTCTGAAGAATGTTACAACCGTCGACTTCCATCGAATTTGTTTTTGCGCAACATTCTTCAGAATATTTTCTTTTGTGTTCAACAGAAGAGAACAAAACTCATAACCTGAGCCACTTGCGCGCGTGTAAATGATGTAATGTTTCTTTAAATATCATATTGCCTTGTTGAAGCATGCTACAATCAAACAGCCAACAGTAAGCTGCATTACTCTGGCTGTTTGTTTATTCACAGGAAAAGGAGTTGTACAAAAAAAACTCTAAAACGAATGGTGTTGTTAAAGCCAGTGTTTCTGTGGCTGCAACACTTGTATAATCACCTCAGTAATCAATCCTCATGTGATGAATGGCTTCAGCTTAGCAGCTCTCATTGATTTCTGTAGCTCAAGACTGGCGATTGTCGTTTTGATCAAATGTGTATGTTGTCTTCAGGCCAATTGGGGATAAGCCATCTAGAGGACGTGGAGGAGGACGAGGAATGGGCCGCGGGGGCCGAGGACGAGGGATGGGACGCGGAGACGGTTTTGATTCCCGGGGGAAACGTGACTTTGACAGACACAGCGGCAATGATAAAGCGTAAGTGTGTTGAATTCAAGACTAACAAAAGCACGAGTCTGACTGGAGTATTACTAGGCATGGGCTGGTATAAGATTCTGTTTATTAGGCAAGTCATTAGCTGCGTCCCAAATCGCATACTTATGCACTATTCTACGCCATTTTGTAGAATAAATAGTGTGAGTAGTGTGTTCACACTGAAAACTCTAAAAATAATAAGTGCACTTTAATTACCCGGATGATGCACTCATTCAGCGCTAAAATAAAGTGTGTAATGATGGACACTTCACGCACTCAACGACCGCAGGTTTGCTTACGTAGCGGAAGGAGCAGAGCTATCGGACACACATGTTGAATAACTTTATTTATTTTGGATGGTGAAAGCAAAATTCTCCTACGAGAGTGATTATAGCGCCTCCCGATGGTGAATGCGGCAACACTAACGGCAGGTATTATTTGATAATTCGGTCGTTTATTTCACTGATTTGGCAACCGTCAAACGTCATCAGGGAAACCTAAAGCTTAGTAAAAAAACATTAGTGTGCCATTTGGGACGACACTACATACATATACTATCCTGTTGAGTGTGTAAGTGCATAAGTACATAGTGCATGAGTGCATAGTGTATAGTGTGCCATTTGGGACGCAGCTATTGTATAAGAGTGGTTTGTTCTGTAGACAATCGAAATTAAATATTAATTAAGGGTGGCTAATAATATTGACCTTAAAATGGTTTTAAAAACTGCTTTAATTGTAGCAGAAATAAAACAAAGATTGTCTCCAGAAGGAAAAATATTATAGGAAATACTGTGAAAAGTTCCTTGCTCATTAAACATCATTTGGGAAATATTTGAAAAAGAACCTCGACACCTTTAATCCTCGAAAGCGGTTATCGTCCCATGCCTATTCAAGAATGAACAAATACTGACTTGTTGCACGAGTCTGACTGGAACATTGCTAATGTTTAGTCGACAGAAAGGAGAGGAGAAGCGCAGTGGGAGCGGCTCGCACAACTGGGGCGGTGTGAAGGAAGAAACCAGGTAGGTGTGAAATGTTTAAAATACTGTTTGTCCAATGTGTACGCTTTTTCTGGGAAGGAGTGAATAAAAGACGTTCAGTGGGTTAAAGACTGTGGGCTGCATTTCGTGTTGTTTTTGAAGCTAAATAAAGACTAAATGTATGTCTTGTGTAGTTCATTTGTAATTAGTAACATATCGGAGACTGTAAGGGGATACATGTTTCATTTATATATTTATTTAATTGCAGAGGTCACAGTAGGCTATTTCGGTCATTGATGTGCAGTTATAATCAAATTATGTTCATAGGTTAGTAATAAACATTTATACAGAAGTATTTGTGTGTATAAGGCACACCAATACTTAGTAGGGCTTCTCATGAATATAAATGACCCGTACAGCTTTACTGTAGACATTTCCTCGAGCAAAAATGATGTCGACTAAAACTTCGTCATACACCACGCCCACCAAAATGTAAAAAATAAAGGTGACTTGTACCGTACCATTACAGTTATTTGTGTATATATATATATATATATATATATATATATATATATATATATATATATATATACATATATATTATATTAGGGGTGTCACGATTTTGATTTTTAATCGAAATCGATCGAAATTTATGCTCAATTTCGATTATTGAATCAAAAAATAGAATCGTCGATGCTGCCACGCC